GGCACTTAACAACAACAACAACAATGTTTGCAAGTTCATTCATGTTATATATTAATTTATCTTTATGAATGAATAAGATTTATTCACAGTTTGCTTATTCATCCATCTGGCTCTTGGGTTCCCACTTTTTGACTATTGTAAAGAATGCTACAGTGAATACTGGTATACATGTATCTGTTTGGGTCTCTGATGATCTGTTACTCCCGAGTCAATTCGGACTTATAGTGACCCTATAAGACAGTCGCTGGAGAAGGACATCATGTTTGGTAAGGTGGAGGGTCAGAGAAAAAGAAGAGGACCCCCGATGAGTTGGATTGGCCAAGTGGCAGCATCAATGGACTCAAGTGTGGCAACAGTAGTGAGGTTGGCCGAGGATCGGGCAGTGTTTCGTTCTGCCGTGTGTAAGGTCGCTATGGGTCGGTACCAACTCGATGGCACCTAACAACAATAAGACAGAGTAGAAATTCCTCATTAGGTTTCCAAGGATGCAGTCTTCCTTGGAAGCAGATGGACACATCTTTTTCCCATGGAGTGACTGTTGGGTTTGAACCACCAACCTTTTAGTTAACACCGGCATGCTTTAACCACTGTGCCACCAGGGCGCCTATAGCAATACTGTTGTTAGTTTAGAATTGGTCTTTGTCGGGCTTAATGTTTCAGTAACTTCAATGTCTGACTCTGGGGATGATGCTTGTTAACAACTCCAGTGACTATTATGTGGAGTCAGCAATGTGGGCTAGAATTCTTATTTTCCATTTTGATTGTGCAAAGATGCACTTAGTACCAACCCTGATAAAGGATCTAGAAAATCAAGAGAAAATGAAATAGGCCGTGCATGACCTTTTTGTGCCCCTTAGTCTAAGGGGACCTTGATTCTGGCAGTAGCATTTGTTTAAAGCTGTCACCGCACCTTGTAAACTTGAAGGCATTACAAATGACAATGTTTTTAAGCATACAGAGCTAAGCTGGGAATGCTCAACACTGTGTCGAAGATCCGAGGGCAGGTGAAAACCACCGGGTACCCACAGACAGAAGGCTTGCTGGGTGACTGCATGCTGAAATATGGGAAGGAGCTCGGGGAACAGTCCACATTTGGTGAGCACTGCCAACATCATCTGAGAATATCTCCCTCATTGACAACTTTTGCTATTTTTCTTATATGCATATTCATTACAGGCAATTTAGAAGACAGGCAGGTAGAATAAAGGAACATGTTAATATCGCTCATGATTCCATAGCCCAGTGATGTTTGCTGTTGCTGAGTTGGCTCCTAACACATGGTATTTTCATACATAATGGAACTACTGCCTGCATCATCCCTGGGTGGCACAAACAGTCCAGTGCTTAACTACTATCCCAAAGGTTGATTGCTGAGCC